AGTGCTCCAATATGGAAAAGGATATGTCCCAAGAATGCACCAAGATCGCCGAAGATGGGCACAAACGTGCCCCGAATTTGACCACCCACTGGAGCAAGCTTTCATAAGACAAAGCAGCAAAAACGACAAAGAACACTATCAAGAGCACTTTTCTTGTACTTGTCGGACCTCAATTTTGTCATTGTTTTTTACAGTGTTTTACGCGCGCTACGAAAAAGACCACGAGCCGAAGTCCAACAGGAGAGAAAAAGCAGCTAAAGGATATGTCCCAAGAATGCACCAATATCGCCGAAGACTGGCACAAACGTGCCCCAAATTTGACCACCCACTGGAGCAAGCTTGCATAAGCAACAAAAACGAAAAAAGAAACTATCAAAACCAACTTTCTTACACTTGTCGGACCTCATTTTTCATGGTACATAATTCTTTTTATAGTGCTTTACGCACACTACACAAAAGACCACCTGCCAAGTCAAACGGGGCAGAGAAAAAGCAGCCAAGTGGACCAACATGGCCGCAGAACAAGTAGCGTAACAGCAGCAAAGCCTTCAACATAGCCCTGATCTAGACCCCACGGCCCCAACCCCTTCCAACATACCTCCACGAGAAGCCTCAAGAGAGCCCCAACATTGGGTGAAGTGCTCCAATATGGACAAGGATATGTCCCAAGAATGCACCAAGATCGCCGAAGATTGGCACAAACGCGCCCCGAATTTGACCACCCACTGGAGCAAGCTTTCATAAGACGAAACAACAAAAACGACAAAGAAAACCGTCAAGCCCTTTCTTACACTTGTCGGACCTCACTTTTCACGTGTTTTGTCTTTTACACGCACTGCGCAAAAAGACCACCTGCCCAAGTCAAAGAGCAGAGAGAAAAGCAGCCGAGTGGACCAGCATGTCTGCAAAACAAGTGACATAACAGCAGCAAAGCCTTCAACATAGCCCTGATCTAGACCCCACGGCCCCAATCACTTCCAACATACCTCCACGAGAAGGCTCAAGAGAGCCCCAACATTGGGTGAAATGCGCCAATATGGAAAAGTATATGCCCCACAAATGCCAGAAGATCGCCGAAGATTTGCACAAACCTGCCCTAAATTTGACCACCAACTGGAGCAAGCTTTCATAAGCAATAAAGCTCTCACAAACACATTTCTTGCACTTGTCCAAACCTTTGCGATGCTGGTTATGTTCCCTGGGGAAGACTGCAGTATTGACATCATGGGTGTGCTCGTCAGGAGCCAGCTTTCATACGCAAACAAAAGATAAAAATAAGCTCTCAAAAACACCTTCCTTACACTTGTGGGACCTCATTGTTTCATGGTTTTTACAGTGTTTTATGCACATTGCACTTCAAAGCCTTCGAATGCGAGATAAGAAGATAAACCTCAAAAATTGCCTCCCGTGCAGGTAAAATGCAACTTTTTGAAGGTAAATAAGCTCAACACAAACCCATCCAAAGCCACTTTTTACTGTAAATTACAGTGTTTTATGGACCTTCGAACATGCCAAAAAAGCCCGCGTGGTCTGCA